TTCTTGTCGCTGCTGCGCAGTTCAGGTGGTCTGTCCTTTGCTGTGCAAACCATTCTCGCCTATGTTACAGCTACCGGTTCCATGTAAGGGAACCTTTTTGACAGCTCTGCATTCCCCCCTCCCTCCCGCCCCGCCCCAAATCTAAAACGTCTTTGATGGTTACTCCTCCTTCCCATGGCTGTATCTGAAAACGACACTAACTGCCAGATGTATTGTCGCAGCTGAGCTTTGCTTGTGCAAGAGCCGGCAATGAGGGCAAGTGGGTACAAATTACACTTGTGTTTCTTTGGTCCTAGGATGAGCTGCCAGCAGTGCAGAGGCAGTACTGGCAGGGAAAGGGGCCCCAGGGGGGGGGGGGGGGGGGGGGGGAAGCTCCAAGACCCCATACGGTGTGAAAACCCACTTCCATCTATAGTATCTAGAGGTATTGCAGGTATTGTGATATAAACAGTTGCACCCGCATTCTGGCTATGTTGCACGGCCAGAACAGTGGACATGAGCTGAACTGACTCCAGGATCTAACACAAAACTCTGTTCATTGTTCCCAAACATTTAACATAACGGGGAAAATTAATCCTACTTGTCTGAAGTAAGTGGAGTAAAACAAGGAACTAACGCTACTAAGCAAAAATAGAGATTTTTAAAAAATTATCTGTAATTCCATGATATGTTCTTTGCTTAGCACCATTCAGAGGTAGTGCACATATGCAGCATTACTAAGATAATGTAAACAAGACAATTTGAACATTGCTTTGCAGAGTCCGGTCCATTTCCTGAAAAAACCAGTGTATAGCTGTGCACTTAGCTGGCACGTCCAGTTACTGAGACTGAACTACGCGCGTTTGGACGGAGTTTCTTGAGGGTCCTTTTTTTTAAATTGTCTTTTGACATCCAGACCTAATCTCTAACCACATTTATCTTTGGCCTCAAGATCCAAGATTTCTGCAATTAAGCAAATTAAGTGCTTTTACTGACATCCCCAGTTCTGCAGAGAATTAAGGTCTGCAACAGTTTTCCATTCCTCTCTCCATGCGGTATTTCTGAAAAAGGTTTTGATTTTGACTTTTGAATGCGGTGTTCACAGAGCGCTGATCAGTAGCCACTTCAGTACAGAATATAAAAGACAGAACAGATTGAGGTTTAGCCTCTTACTGAAGGTAACCCTGAAGTTAATCCCTAACTGGTAGAAAAATGAGCAGAAATCAGAAACCTTTCACAACTGACAACTGAAAAGACACATCCCAAAATATTCATCTTTAATTGACGCATTGTTCATTCTTGCAGGGTTTTCTTTAAAGGAATTATTCTGGGAATGCCACCGATCGCATTAAACGATACTTATTTGTGTTACATCTGGTTTAGCCCTTTATTTATTTATATTTTACCTGAAAATGTATTTTCTTAGAGACCTTATAACAGCATTTCTGCATTATCAGTTCATTTTGTTCTCCTCTTTCCTGGATATATTAGCCAGGAAAAGGAATTCCCAGTCTGTAACAGACAGATTAATTCACACGTTTTTACTTTGTCCACATAGAAAAATGCAATTTCTGGATCACTGAGGCATATGGATTATGAACAAGACACTCCAAAAACTAACTATCCAGACGGGGATATACTTACAAAAATCTTTTATGTCAAAGTCAGGATTTCACAACATAACACGCTAATGCAAAATCCAGTAGCACCTGAAAGATTAAGGTAGCTGCTGCTATCACTTGCACATACTTGAAAAAGATTTAAGAAAAAAATAAAGAGTTAAAGTACATTCTCCAGAGAACAGCAAGTGTATTTCAAAATAAAACCTGTATTTTTTATCTTTTTTTTTTTTTGGGGGGGTGTGTGTGTGCGTATTTCTGTTAGGTTTTTTGGTGATACTTTTTGCCTTTTTTTTTTACAAGACTGTAGTTGCCATATAACAAGTTATACACGATGTGACTGCTCTCCCCTCCAGTGCAAGTTCATGGTCATGTTTTCAGGCTATAGTACTTACTCAACACTGTTTTCTGGTATACATATTCCCATAGTTTCATCAAAGATAGATACAATGTATAATACCTGTCTCTGGGAAAGTAATGTTTCAAACAGGCAAACTTTTATCTTAAAATAGAAGTGGAGAGGCTACAGTAGGTATAGCCACCTAAGTATGAACTCTTGGTCACAACTTCTGAACACTCACCTACTGTACATAAACATTAAAAATAGTCTTAGCAATAGGATTTTATTTATATGTGCACGTATGTCCACCTTATCCCATATTTATGTTTGGCAACTATTTGGGAATTCAAAGGTGCAGCCCTCAGTAATTTTATCATTAAAAAAAAAGAAATGAAGCGTATCTACTCTATGAGAAAAGAAATTCTCAAATATCAATTTCCAATTTTAAATTTAATTTCAATAGGAAAATATTAAAAATGTGCACATCTAAATTTTTCCATGTTCTGTATATACATATGTGTGTGTACGTATACATAGAAATACTCATGTACCACACATATTCACAAAATTTAAGTGGAAATATTTCTGTCCACTATTTTCCCACATGTAAATGACATCATATCTTTAAAAATGTCAATAATAGTATCATTAAAAATAATATTACATTTATTCCATCATCAACTTTCTGCTTTTTTATTCTTTCTTCATCGTTATTACGTCCACTGAGCATTAACAGGCCAGATTCTCCCTGCACTTCCACAGATGTTATGCCAACTGAATGTTGCTGACATCACATCAAGGACACATCTGGTTTACAGCAGCCCAGCTGACAGGAGAATCAGGCCCAAACATCCCCAGGTAAATTAAAAACTGGTCGTATCTGCTCATCTGGACCTGATGAAGATATACACACCACCGTCTAAAATCCACTGAATGAAAAACATGTAGCTCACCACAAAGTTTTTAACCAGCAGCACGCTGATCCAAGCTCCCCCCACCCCTTTAATAAATAAAATAAATGAGAAAATACTCTAAAAATATGGAGGAAACTTAAGCATTGCGTACATTGCATACTGTATAATACATCATGGTTTAGCATTTGACCTAAACCATTTTCCTGACTAGTCAGGGGAGACCTGATAAATCACTGCTAAAGAAAGAAAACGGTATTTTGGAAATAAAGCGTGTATTTCTAATATAAATGAGAACCTGTGTGTATTATACGGTATATACACACAGTACACACATGAAAACAAACTTATCTTTTCTAGTTTTGAATAGCAGTCTCTAAGTGGAGAAAATTGTGTTGTACAAATTTAATAAGCAGCTAGATTTCATGTTTAACATTCAAATTAATTTGGGGAGCAAACAGAGGTCCGTGCATCTTTCGACTCTGAAGTCTGACACTCATTCATACATTTTAAAAAAGCCCTCTTCAACATTACAAGCAATTTATGGCAAGAATGTACTTTGATGCAAGACACATGACACTTGGCTTACCTTTCAAAGAGGTTTTTTTTAAAATAAATCTATTATATAAAGAAATGTGTGTTTGCCAAAAGTCTGTTAAAATTACAACTTGTTAAATCAAAACAACTTTAAAACCTGCTCACTGAGGATAATTGAATTCAATTTCCTGTTTTTAAACATTTAGTTAATATTTCAGAATATTGCCTGGTGTAGTTTCAATGAAGATGTGATATGAAGACCCATAAAAGAGTAAACATGTCTCCATCTGAATTTGCTATGACAACAAAACTTGTAGAAACAGCTTTCTTGGCTGGACAAGTTCAGTGTACGAGTAATCCCTTGCAATAGCTCTATGCCCTTAATGCAATCTGTAATAAAACAGTGCTCCCCATAAGCCATTATTCACAATGTAGTTTCAATGAAGATGTGATATGAAGACCCATAAAAGAGTAAACATGTCTCCATCTGAATTTGCTATGACAACAAAACTTGTAGAAACAGCTTTCTTGGCTGGACAAGTTCAGTGTACGAGTAATCCCTTGCAATAGCTCTATGCCCTTAATGCAATCTGTAATAAAACAGTGCTCCCCATAAGCCATTATTCACAAAACCTGAAATTCATGTGACATTCTGAAAAAGTCTCCTGCAGAACAGGTTAACAGTTAATTGAACATACATATTCGATATATGTATCAAGGCCAGAAAACAAATGACTGGCTATTCCTTGTTATCTGTGCATGTCAAATTTTACATTTAAAATTCTCAGGGGTTTTTTGCCCCCTTTTTTTTTTCCTGGGGGACTCACCTTCCATCATTGGTTGGCTTCAAAATACAGTTAAGTGGAAGATAGTATCTCACTGTAATTACATGGAATTCATATGAAAAAGTAAACCTTACATTGGACAATATTGTAGAACACCAGAGTAAGCTCCATAAAGAAATACGGTATCTTCCAGTATATATATATATATATAAAAAACCAAAAAACAACCAACCAACCAACCAAAAAAACCCCAAAAGGAAGAACTTTATACAAGCAGTTATATTAACTTTGTTTCAATTAAAGATGCAACTCTCTCTCACTCCTGGCAAGAATAAATTGGTAATGGCACTGCTTCTCCACAGTGCAAAGTATCCTGAGAAATTATTAAGAACAACAAAATACAGGGCTGTCATCACTAAGTTCTTGCACAAAACACAGCAATTAAATATCTTAAATAAATAAAACAGCAGATAACCTATATTGTGTCTATCACAAAAAGGGGATGTGACCTGGGACACTGCTAATTCTTTCATCACTGATAATTAGAAAAGGATTGCATTCAATTACTGTTAATATCTTTCAAGTTATCTATGGCCAATAATGTACAAGGAGGTAATTTGTAATTCAAGTTTTTTTGTTTGTTGTTTTTTTCTTCAACTAGCTACAAGCTGAATTCTAAATTTTACATTGAAATACGACTCAAATTTAAAACAAGCCCTCTCAGAGGAGCATTTTCTAATTTTGTGCAACTTTGATGCAGAGCCCAACACAGTCCTACGAAGAGAGACAGTGCATCTTTAAGCTGATTGGCACTGAAATCCCATTTTCTTTAGCTGCATTCTATTAGCTTGGCCAAGTTATCTCGTAACTCTGTTAGTTCAAATATTTTTCCATCAAGAATTTCTAAAAGTGTCTTCAAGTTATTGCGAAAAGCTTCTTGCTCATTCTGACTTTTCTCCAGACGTTGCTCTAGATCAGACAGCTGGCCTTCCAGGTCTTTGTTTCGAATTTCTACTTCCTTCAGAGAAAATATATAACATGTTAATGTGTTGTCTGCAAACAGAAAGCAGTCTAACCTCCTGCTGGTATTCGTGTGCTATTTTTGTCAACTGTTTTTTAAAACAATTTGTGACCCTTCACAGTTTCCACTAAGCCAAAACCAGAACCCAAATTGTTATTACGATTGCGTATGTACTACTACTTCCTCCATTTTTTCAGTAATTCATCTGAAGGACAGAAACTTTTGGAGGGGGATAAAATTTAGTCAGTGAACAATGGATGTGATATACTTATTCAGGTAAGTTATTGCTTCTATCATTCAGAAATGTGCCACCTCCTGAAAACAGCTTCTCAAAGGTTTACTTAAGTTCAAGTATTCCCTGACTTAGGCTACATGAATTGCTCGAGGACGTAGTCCCCATTAAATGGTCTCATACAGAAACTCATCCAGAACACTGCTTTATGGATGGAGGAGTACTACCTTACTCCTGTCCCACTTTTCACCCTGCAAATTAAGACAGAAACGTAAACTAGCAAGACCGATGTCAAGGTGACATTGATCGGAACAAATTTAAACCAGCAAGTGCAAGCTGAATGTCTTGTCTCGCTGCACGGTGCCCCGGAGCACCCACCTGCAAGCCCCACAGTAGCGCAGCTGTGGGGGGGGAGCC